AACGAAATAAAAAAGACATATGCACCTCATGAAAATTAATTTTTGTGCATTGAAAGACACTGACCAATGAACTGAGAAAGCAACCCAAAGAATAGGGAAAAAAAACCCCAAATAATTTATCTGATAAGATATTATTATAGCAATTTAAAAAATAAACTCAAAACTTCTAGGGGCCGGGGAGATGACTCAGTGTAATAAGCACTTCCCTGGTAAGCACAAGGGCCCCAGTTCCGCAAAACAAAACAAAACAAAAACAACAACAACAAAAACCTTCTAAACTCACCAACAAAAAAGTCAACTGAAAAATGAGAAAAACACTTGAGCAGACATTTCTCCAAAGATGCACAGTTGGCTGATATACAAAAACGTGCTTTCATGAAATCACACAGGAAATGCAACTCAAAGCTACAGTGATTCTTCCACTTTGTACCTATTAAGATGATCAGTACATATGTGTTTTCTTTCTTTTTTCTCTGTGTTTGTTTTAAATGTATTTGGTACAGGGTCTTACTACACCGCTCGGGCTCATAGTGATCCTCCTGTTTCTGCCTTCCTGGCACTGGAGTTACAGGTGTGCACCACCATGAATGGTCTCAGTTGCCCACTCAGCCTACCTGGGGGCGAGGGGTGAATGGCATGTGGTGCTGGGGATCACTGATTTTGTTTTCATACTGGGAACTGAACTGAAGACCTTGTACTTGCCAGGCAGGTGCTGTGCTGCTGAGCTACATCCCTGGCCTTAGAATAACTAGGATAAATAAGAACCAGGAAATAACAGGTGTGATAAAGAGAAAATAACTGAAATTCTTTGTGCATTGCTGATGGAACTGTAAAGCAGTATATTCACCATGGAAAATAGTATCACATTTGCTTTAAAATTTTTACAGCTAAAATTACTATATAATCCAGCAGTTCTACCTCTGGGTACAAACTCCCCCCAATATAAAAACAACATCTCTGTACATGCATGGCTGGAGCAGCATTATTCACAACAGTCAAAATGTTGAAGTTATAAGTGTTTAACAAATGAATTCAGTCAAAATATATACCTACATCTATACACGTTACAGTTTCTGTCTAGTAGTCCCCCCAGAACCTCATTCAGTCATTGGTGCAAGCTTTTAGAGTTTGTGATTAATTTATGATCCAAGGCTGGAATTATGGGTGTGAGTGCTACACCCGCCCTGGGGCAGACAGCCTGAATACAATGTGGGGAAGGGAGAGAAACTTGCTAGCTGCTGCAATTGCAGCTCTTCACTTTGCACTTCGCTGTTTTCCACTGCCAAGAATGTACTCTGCACTGTGCCACTCTGCCTTCGGCCAGCCCAGTATGGGCTGAAACCTCCACTAACTGCGAGCTAAATAAACCTTTCCTCTTTAAGTTTGGGTGTTGGGCATTTTGTCCCAGCAACAAGAAAAGTAACTGAGACAGCATACAACACAAAATACAATTCAGTCTTAAAGGATAAAATTCTAATGTATTTCAGCACAGACCAACTCTGAGAACATCACTTTCACACCCTGTTAAAATTAAGCTACAAAAAGTAAAATTCAGGTTGCCAAGGACTGGGAAGTTAATTTAATTGGTACAGCCTTTATAACGTGAAGAAAATTGAATTAACTGAATGTATTGATGGATGAAAAATACTGGAGACCAGATAGAATCTCCTATTGTGGAAAAAAAAAAAAAAAAAAAAATCAAGGAAAGATGAAAAAAAAAAAAAAAAAAAAATCAAGGAAAGTACTGATATATGTAATAATGAAATAATTATGCTAAGTGAAAGAATCAAAATTCAAAAGGTCACAATTTTCTAGGATTTATATGAAATGTCCAAAATTGGGACGTCCATAACAATGACAAAAAAAAAATTGTGGTTACCACAGGACAAAAGGAAAAGTAAAGAGTTGCATAGGGTTTTTTTGGGAGTTAATAAAATGTTTTATAAATAACATGGTACTGATGGCTGTACAACATTGTGAATATATGAAAAGGCACTACATTTCACTCTTCACAGTGTCAAGTAATGAATTTTGTTTTAATTTTGAAAAATTAAAAAAACTGGAAGGTTAAGATGCCAGTTAGAACTTCAATGACTCAGACTTATAGGTCAAAAGAAAACAGGAGGGGGGCTGGGGAGATGGCTCAGTGGAATAAGTGCTTCTCTGGCGAGCACAAGGGCCTGAGTTCAATCCCCGGTCCCACCAAAAAAAAAAAAAAAAAAAAAAAGAAATACACAACCATATAAAATACAGTACTGTTTTTAAGTCACTTAAGAGCATAAAAATTTTTTTTTAAATATGACCCAACTGTAAATGAAGGTGATCTCTGGGTAACTTTTGTTTATATTTTTGTTACCTAAATTTCCTAAAGTAAGTAGGGTATTTTACTTTTAAAATTACAGAACACAACCTTAATGGAGAATAATGAAATAGCTATCACTTTACTCAGTTATCAAGGTATTCAGATTTTTAAATTCAAAATAATGCCATATTTGCTTCTAGTTATTTTATTAAAAACTGGTTTAAGTGGAAGCTCTTTCAACACTAATTAATATAGCAATTCTTTAATAAAAACCCAACTACCATAAAGTTGTGATAGACCTTTTTTTTACTTTCATCATGAAGAGGCATAAATAAGAGTATGGTTTGTATCATTTAAAATTTACAAAAATGATTAATCATTATACTTTTTTTCTGCAACTTACTTTTCTACTTGACATGCATTATTGTAAAACCTAGTCACTTATACATGTACCATTTTTATAATTAAAAATTTTGCTGGTTGGGGCGGGGGAGATAGCTCTGTGGAACAAGTGCTTGCCTGGCAAGTGCAAGGTCCTGAGTTCAATTCCTGGTAACACCCAAGAAAAACAAAAAATCGCTGATTAAAGGAAATTCCAAATACTAATTTTTTCCCCTTCATCTATACACAAAAATGAGTTTTAAAAAAATGCTTTGAACTGTACCAGCACTGGCAACATCTACTGTCTGTCCTCATCTTAAGTCTCTACCAGTGCTTCTTTCTTCTCCTTTAAACTCAATAGCAGGAGACTATTTCTATTCATCATATTGTAATATTCTCCTCTCGAATTTCAGGCCACAGCAAAAATATTCACTAGTCAAGTAGTATCAAACAACATTAAATGAATTATTAGAGAAAAAAAAAATCATCCTGCATTCACTTAGCTACCTAGAAGTATACTTAATATACTGTTAAACATTATCAACACATACCAGTTTTGGGGCAATTTCCATCACTGGAAAAAGTATGACATGTAATCTAAGGATGTAATAACAAGCAAAAAGCTCTGAGTTGGGGCTGGCTAGATAACTTAGCAGACCAAAGGGCCTGCTTAGGTAGAGCGCAGTGGCCAGGGTTCGATCCCCAGTGTGCTGTGCCAGCCCCACCCCTGGGGGATGCTAACATGGTGATTGAGACCGGTGTGGGAGCACAAGCCAGCACTTGGGAGGCTGAATACAGGAGAATCACTACAAGTTGTATCTACATAGTGACACCCTATAGATCCTGTACTAAATACACAAAATAAAAAAAAAAGTTTTGAGTTGAAGCCAACAGAGTACATAATATAAATAGAAAAAAACAGAATAACTAGATTTAAATGATTTGGCAACAGAATGCTAGTTTCTGAAACAAATTTTTAAAATAGTGAGCCATTAAACCAAGTCTCAACCTTCTTATGTAACTATTTCTTAACCATTTCTCCAAAGCAAAGAAAACCTTTCCAATCCCTTTTTTTTGAACTATGACTTGTCACCACATGCAACCAGGCATAAGATTATTCTGAAAATTAAAATTTATTTATGCATAAATTAACCAAGCAGCCAGAGGGGAAAAAAGTGTCTGACATACATATTTTATTTTTTCTGACATACATATTTTAAAACGTTACCTATTATTTAACTTATAAATTATGAATAGCGTGATCTCTGTATGCAACTATAACTGATAAAAGCATAGCAGTAGAAAGGTCATGGACATTCATGGTAGTAAAACATTGTTACTTACCCATAAGTAGTATGTGAACTGAAGTGCAAAAATAGCAATGCCTTCATTATCAAAGGAACCAGCTACAGACCGGGATATATAACCTGGTACAATAGCAATGAAACAAGCAGCTAAAAGTCCTGCTCCTTGGTTCCAAAGTTCTCTGGTAAGCAGGAAAGTAGATATAGATGTAAGGCCGCTAAAAGTTGGTGCAAGGAACACACATACATCTCTTATGTGAACTGTTATGTTTAATGTATTTAAAATCCAATGGATAAGGCCAGCTGTTATCATCAACCCTGGATAAACCTACAAGGAAAAAGAAAGTATAATGTAACTATACATATAAAGTGAAGTATCCAAAAATAGTAATATTAGTTCTCTAATTTATTGTTACATATTATTTAGTAAAAATGAAATAGAAAAAAAATCAAAATAATTTGACTTTTTTACACAGTATAAATAAAATCATATATATGGAAAATGATGTTTTCTTTTTAGACTGGTCTCACTGAATTGCCCCAGGTGGGCTTGAACTTGCAATCTTCCTGTCTCCATCTCTGAGAGTAACAGGTTTATGAGTATGAGCTACCATACTAGGATCCCATTAATTCTTATACCTATATAGTGTCTCAAGATTGGGACTATAATACATTTATACTGCACGTATACAAGAGAAGAAAAGGGATAAAATTTTAAAAGATGTAAACTTTATTTAAATTGTTACTTATATATGAATCTTTTCTCTGTTCATGTCCAAGAACTAAAAAATAAAAAGTTCTAGCTAAACAAGTCCAATCACCTGGTAAATTCAAACATGCCTGAGACTCCTAAAAGGTTTAAAGTTTTAATATAACACAGTATTATGGGTGGAAGGAAAATAATAAACTACAAGTGACCAGTTAACAGTCACTTTTTTAGTACAGGATCTACAGGGTCTCACTATGTAGAAAGGATTTATAGTGATCCTCCTGTTTTCAGCCTCCTAAGCACTGGGATTACAGGCGCATGCCACTGCACCCAGTCTCAATCGCCTTCTCAGCACACCCCAGGGGTGGGGCCAGCAAGGCATGTGGTGCCAGGGATTGAATCTGGATCCCTGCGCTCTGCCTAAGCAGGCACTCTAGTCCATTGAGCTACCTGGCCAGCCCAACAGTTATACTTTTAAGAAATGGTAAATAGGGCATTATTTTTGAGCTATTCTTCAGTTACTAAAACTTCAAATCAACCTTCCACTCCTATGGTCTATAATTCACTCCCTTGCTTTTTCTCCGTAACATATATCATCATATTACATTCCATTTTATCTTATTATTAACTTAACTGCCCACCCTGCCAACAAGATAATTTCCAGAACAAAAACAACTTTTTAACCCACATTGAGAACAATAACTGCCACATTCAATATAAAAAGAATTAGGGGCCGGGGAAATGGCTCAGTAGAATAGGCGCTTCCCTGGCAAGCGCAAGGGCCTGAGTTCAATCCCCAGCTCCACCGAAAAAAAAAAAAAAAAAAAGAATAAAACAAATGAACTAAGGGAAGATAAAATATAATTTGTTATCACTCTTAAAAATAAAACTTTTGTTTCATTTCATATTCAGTATGAGGTCCCACTGTATGATTCTAACACTAAAAGAAAATGGAAATGAATTTGAAAACTCTCAAGTAAACATGTCTATGTAATATTGTAAATTGAACACATAAAAAAAGCAAAAGAACTAAAAGTACTGGATAAAAGAACCCCAAAACAAACACCAAAAAGATATATCAAACTCAGTAAGACAGGGAATTCACCAGATGCCAAAAAAAGAAAATTTAAAGGTAGGTAGGTACTGATGCCCATAAGAGAAAAGAGGGGAGAAAAAAATTCCCCCAAACCAGGCCTGAAATAGAACTTAAGAATTGAAGACGGGGAGGATTTCACTCAACATAGGGATCACAAAGACTTAGTTTTTGGCACAAAATCATATACTGTTCCTGGTATTAAACAAGACAAATTCTACTTGTTCATTAAAGGAGGCTGTGTACTTGCTTCAGGAGCACATATACTAATGGGGGCAGGAAGGAATTTCCAAAGCTTTGGGTAGGAGCAATCTCAAGCTATGAAATAACCTGTAAAAACTTTACAAGAGTAAGAAAAGAAAAAGAACTTTCCTAAAACCAGTGAAAACCTTGAGGTCTTTGACAAAGACAAATGAGAAAGATTTTTATAGAGATACTATAGTACCAAATCCTAGGACACCAGGAGTCAAAAAAAGAACACGTCTCCATTGAGGATGAATTTCAGATAAAAAGTTTTAACCCTGCAAGGAAACAAATTACAGTCATCAGGGTCGGCCAAATAGCTCAGTGTATTAAAGAGCCTGCTTAGGCAGACACAGGGGCAGGGAGTTCGATCCTGGTTCTGCCATGCCAGCCCTGCCCCCAGGGTACTCTGAGACCACATTTGAGACTGGGCATGGTGGTGCACACCTATAATCCGAGCACTTGGGAGGCTGTAAACAGGAGGATCACTACCAGTCCAATCTAGTAAAATCCTGTACACCCTGTCCTAAATACAAAAAAAAAAAAAAAAAAAAAAAAAAGAAATTATAGTCAGCAATATTAATATTCAGGGTTGTGGAGATAGCTCAGCAGTCTAAGCATCTGCCTGGCAAGCTCAAAGGTCCGGGTTTGATCCCTGAAACTGGGTGCACTGCACCAGCTACCAAAACTGGGTGTGGTAGCGCACACTTGCAATCCCTGCACTGAGAAGACTGAGACAGGAAGATCACTAGGAGGCCGAACTGCATAGCAAGACTCTGTACCAAATGAATGAATGAATTTTTTTTTTTTTTTTTGCCAGCTAAGCCCACCCTGAGGGCAGGGCTGGCACAGTATGTGGTGCTGGGGAATGAACCGTGGTCTTGACTAAGCAGGTGCTTTAGATCACTGAGCTATCTCGCCAGCCCCTAAACTATTTAAAAAATATATTAACATTTATTTTTAGAAAATTAGCACCCTAAGAACTAGAGCCACCTACCATGTCCATTACCATTTAACAATTCTCAAGGTTACTTCTCTAGTGAATGGTCTTTAAGAAGACTGTATCTCTATCCAATAACCACGATTTACCAGAAAAGTGGCTTGAGTGAGACAATTCCCAACAACTCCCAAACAGGTAGGTGTGTTTGATGCAGGGGGGTTGATCAAAAAAAGAACTGAAGAAACACTGAATAATCAGCCACAGAAAATGCATTAGTGAACTGTTCAAATTTTTCAAGAAACCCTTTCCAATGATTTATGTAAATGATAAAATTTTACAATCAAGATAAATAACTACTAATATACTTACAGTACCACCCACTATTCTTCCTAGTGGATACCATGCTCTTTCATCAAACCAATTTAAAAATTCATAGAATCCATGAGATGCAAGATGATGTGTTGATCTATAGTTAAACCTACAAGAAAGGGAGAAAGAAATGTTATAAAACTAACGAAAACAAGTTTGATAAATTTTATGGACAAAGAGATACATTTTGCACAATACTCTTTCTCAAACTTACATAAGTAACAAATAAAATAACTCTGAATACCAAAGGAATATGTTCATGCCTCTAACAAGCCTTCCAATGGCTAAATAATGCTTACATTAACATTCAGCTATCCTTCTCTGGTCCACAACTAAGAGCTATAATTTCAATGAAAAGCAAAAAGAAAACAAAAAACAGTTAAGAGCCCACAGAATTTATACATGATCAGAAAAGTTCTTGACTGTCAAAAGCACCACTGCAGAAGATAGCTTCAGAATGGAAGGAATACATGTGACATCACTGTCAAAAATCCTGAAACTCTAAAAGTTACATAAAGAAAAACTACAATAGTTCTAAAAGTGCTAACAGAAAAACCTGCGATAGCTCTGTAGCACAAAAATATGTATGGCCATAAACAGAAATTATATTTAATCTTTAAAAGACAAGGGACTAATGAGAAGAAATGAACCAAAGGCTAAAATGTGAGAAGAAAAAAAAAAATGCAAAACACCAAAGGAAGTTCCAAAAATATTCTATGTTTAGTTTAAAGCAAGTAAAGAGCCAGGCTTATGGCACATGCTTGCAATCCCAGTATGCAAGAAACAGGAAGATCATGGCAAGATCAAGGCCAGCCAAGGCTACATAGTGAGTTCAAGACTAGCCTATACTACATAGTGAGACATAAGCACCTGCCTGGCAAGTGTAAGGTTCCTAGTTCAATCCCCTGTACAAAAAAAAAAAAAAAAAGGAACTATAGGGGGCAAATGAGAACCTTCGCGCAATCCTCAAGGCAAAGACATTAGAAAAAGTTAGGCAAATGGCTCCCCTCTCCCAACTATTACCAAGAAGGAAAGCAGCTTATCTAAGGGCAGAGAATTAGAAGTAGTAAATGAGGCAGGAGTCAGAACTATGCTGGACACAGATGATGTACAAGAAAGCTTCATACCCAAGTTTGATACCACCTTTCCAGCATCCAAGTTATGATTCTGTCTCTAATAACTAAAAGCAAGCTATGTAGCTTTTAGACAGACTCTGCACAACCACAAGGTAACATCTAAGCACCACTAAAGCTAAGCAACAAAGTCAGCTGAATTATCTTTATTTAGAGGGCTATAAAAAGTCAAAGTAGCCTGAGAGAAAGTATAAGCTAGAGGTTTATAACCATAGTGCCTGGGCCTGAATTTTAGTTCTTTCTATACTTACTAGCTTATGAGACTCTGGTTGAGCAAGTTACTTATGCTCTATGTGCTCTAGCTATTTCATTTGTAAAAGATAATAAATAGCACCTGTATCGTAAGATAGCTATGAGTAAAGAACACAGTGCCTCTGGAATGCTGTGGTTACTATTATTAATGAATAGACATGATAAAATATCCACTAGAAATTCTAAATGGCAAAATGATTATTCAAATACACAAAATCAAAGATGAATAGTATAGTAGACAAAAAAGAAAATTTTAACACAACAAAGTATCATGAAAAGTTAGGCAATCTAAGTAAAACCCGGAAGTTCTTACACTCATCTTAAAAAAAAATCATTAAGGACCACAGAGGACTGAAGGCATGCTGGGGTAGGGGTGTTTTAGTATGATATATGCTATGGTAAAGTACAATTTAAAATCATTCATTCAAATAAATAAATGGCACTTTCTATGAAGGACTAACTAAAAAGATCATATATCTTAGTGGGAACTGCCAGGTACTATAAAACACTGCAGTAACATATTTAAAATTTCTGAGAGAAAGGGCTTTTAAAACCAGAATTTTAAAGTAAAAGCTCCTTAGCAGCAACATGGATGACTAAACAGTTAAAATGAGCTTAATTTTAAAAAAAAATACTTACTCAAATATCAAAATTAAGTATTATACTCCCAAAGCCAGGACTATGTAAAGGCTGTGTAGTAACAGCAGATAGAAAATATACTGACCACAAGGAAAGTGACAGTATTTGTTTCTTCTCATGTGAAAGGCTAAAGGCTAAAGAGTCTAATTTAATTTATAAGGAAGCCCTGTTATGGTCTGTGTCTAGTTGTCTCCCTAAAGCCTCATGCAATCATAGGGTGGACATTTAGAGTTTGTAATTAACTCATGATCCACTGGGATTATGGGTGTAAATGCTGCTGGGATTATGGGTATGAGTGCTACCCCAAGCCTGGGAGGATAGCCTGAATGAGACCATAAGGGAGACAGACTTGCTCTCTGTTGCCATTGTTGCTGTTACTCCTCCCTTTTTGAATCCTTCTGCTACCATATACTGCTGCCTTCTGCCATGTGCCAGTCTGCCTTGGAGCCAGCTGAGTATGGGCTGAAAACCTCCAGTAATTGTGAGCTAAATAAATCTTTCCTTCCCTAATTCTGAGTGTTGGGTATTTGTCCCAGCAAGGAGAGATGAGTAACTGCGACAAGCTCTAAGCATGAAATGATCATTTAAAACAATACCTAAACACCTAGATCAGCAATACAAACAAAAACCAAAATGCTCCAGAGCTACTTGGATGAGTTCATAAACAACAAACTGCACAGGGAAGAGACTCACCATAGGAAAATATGTAGAGATAGAGTAATACTCCCAAAACAAGTTGAAGAAACCATAAATTTAAGTGTTGTCCTTATAAGAGTTCTTTCTTCTTACAAATACTAGCAAGACTGTCACTTCTAAGCAACTCTAACACTGTCCCTTATTTGTCTACTTTGCTATTAGCACTCTAATCAAGCTACCATCTTTTAAAATAAAAATCACTCGGCTGGCAAACACCTGCACCACAGCTGTGCTGACCCCGGCCCCGCTCCCCCAGCGCCCTGATCAAGTGACCAAGTCCAGGCATGGTGGTACATGCCTGTAATCCCAGTGCTGGGGAGGCTAAAAACAGAAGGATCACTATGAGTCCGAGGTGCCTAGTGAGACCCTATACAAAAAGTAAAATAAAAAAATGAATAAATAAAATAAAAAACACTAATTTAGTCTCTACCTAATTACCTTCCATCCATTCTGTCAACCTGCTGATTTCCCAATCTGTGTACCAGTGTCACACAAGGAAAGTCCTTTCAAAACAAAAATGTGATCATATTCCAACTCCCTATTCAAACCATGCAAAAATGATTTATCTCTTAACATTAAAGAAACTTTTACTTCTTAATGGTTGAAATCACACATAGAGTTCTTAGATCTAACTCTACAGCCTCCTACCACACTACCTCCCTACTTCCTATACACACATCTTTCAGTCTTCTAGATTCATCTCATTCTCTCTGGCCGCAGAATCTTTAGAACACTACTCCTCTGTGCCTGGATTTATTGTTGTTAGGTTTTCATTCTGGTTAACCTATCCTTCAAACTAGTGGATGCTGTACAGAAAAGGTTTAGTGTAATTTTTTTTCTCTAATACTTAGCACAGATGCAATTACACATTTCTTTACTTGGTTAATACTAACAAGAAGGGACCACTGCATCTCCACTGCCTAGCAAGGCAACTAGTTCAGCTCTGATTCCATCACTGTGTTTTGAGATAAGATCAAGGTACTTTCTCAGAAAGCTACCCAATACCAACATTTGGTGGTCTCCCCAAAGTAAAAGACCAACATAACTACACTTCCTGATATATATGTCTGAAAGGAGAATTAAGTTAAATCAACTTCTTAAGATTCTATTTGAAAATCTAAGGTATCTAATAGCTGAACAGAAATGGAAATAGATTTAATCCTATTATATCCTTAGAATCAAGTCTATTCTAGTATATAACTTTTTAAGCATCCTAAACTTCTTTACAGATTCCTACATACCCTTTCTCTTTGACTTTAGTAAATTAATTCCTTCCTGAATTGTCATTAATTTTTCTGCACTACTTTCCAGCCCTGTTTCCAACCCACCACAATAAATATTCATAGTGACCTCATGGCTCTCCCATCTTATCTCCTAGAAATGAAGTAATAAGACTGTACTGGGCAGCACACTCTTTATTTCACTTGGCCTTTTCAAGAAAAGCAATGTCTATTTTCACTTTAAACCTACAACTCATTCCCTCAACTCATGTGAATCAGTCAGTGCTTACTAGAGAAGCAGGTTTCATGTCATGTAAGATAGACAAATACTTAAGAATTTATAAGACTGGCTTCCAGTGGCCACACACAGAGTCAAGTGTGGAAGAATACAAAAGGTCTGTCCATGAACAGGAGCTCTGAAGGATCCAGTTGAAGGCCCTGGAGCCCTATCAGTTGGCTGAGGATTCTATGCTAGCAGCTGAAGAGTTCATGCTAGAGGCCAAAAGACAACATCCAAGGTGAAGACTACAGATCCTTTCTTTCTTTCTACTTTATACTTACTATTCAGGCTACAAGCTGCCCTAGAGTGGGTCTTCTGTCTTCACTATATCCCCTCAGCCACATTTAGAATTATACTGATCCAATTTAGTTGGGCATTTCTTACTCAAACTGACACAGTTAACTGTATCACATCATGTTTTCTCATACATCCTACTCAAGTTGAGTATTATTGATTAGTTGAGTAATATAATACTGATTAGTTGATGAGTAATATTAACCATTTAACTACAGAGAAAAGTGAACACCCCATCCAAAATTCTTGTTTCTTACTAATCTCACTAAGTATTAAGCTTTTTTCTTAATAAGGCAATTATGTGTTGTTATTTATTATAGTTTTTAAATTTTCATTTCCATGAAGCATAAGCAAATATATTTATTTTATTATCCATTAAAATTTCTTCCAGTAAAGTGTGTGCTGAAGTTTTTTTGGTTGATCTGAGTAAATTTTCATATCACGGGTACTATTTCTTTGTCAGTTTTATTACCTATAATCTCAATTTGTGGCTACTTTTTATACTCAACAGTATTTTTTTTAAAGAACAGAAATTTGTGATATATTTGAATTTATCACTTTTTTCAGGCAAAAAGGTCTTGCTACTCATAAGACA